CCCCCCCTCCGGCCGCCCCAGCCAGTCTTGTCCCACCGTTCAGGGCCCCGCGTCCCCACCGCCATTTTTGCCCTGATCCTCCTGACTCCTGAGCCTAACGCGCTCTCCTTCAAACACAGTAGGAAGCGGGGCGCAGAGGGGGGTCGCTGAACAAGCTACGGGCTTGGGCTTCTGGAAAGCCATCCTTGTGCCTAGTACACTCGGTGCAGACAACTTGTGCACACTACCCGGGCTGTGCCCCTCTCCCACACCGCCCAACAGAAAGAAGAGGCCGCACTCCCCACGCCCCTCGCCGCCCTCTGGCATGCCGTACGCAGCTTCTGTACGGACCTACTCTGCTGAGGTTCCCTCTGTTGAGCCGCCATCTTCCCAACTATACTTCCCTGTTAGCCAATCGTGAGACTGTCACGTGGCTAGTTGCCGCCCTGGATTCTGGGACTTTAACAACCTCAGGGCCGGCAAGACCTTTCTTTGACGCCCTTATCTCCAACACACCATTTCTGGTCCCATCAGCTCCTCCCTGGCGTGTGAACCTTCGTCCTTGGCATTCTCACACTGTCATATTTGTTCCTCAACCCATGACAGTTCATTTTGTTGGGTGCAGCCTGGCTGGCCTGGAACTTGCTACCCTTGAGCAGAGATCCACCTGCCTTTTGCCTGCTGAGGGCTTGGATTAAAGGAGTGCACCACCATACCCAGTCTTTTTTATTATTATTTTAATGCCTGTAATCTCAGCAATGAAAAGGCTGAGGCAGGAAGATTGCCAATGAGTTGGAAGCCAGTCTAGATCCCTGAGTCATAACTTAACCCTACCATTCTGAGGTTCTGCAAGATCAAATCTACAGTTGGGGATAAGGGCTCAATGGTAGAGGTGCCTGGTATGAGCAAGAGCCTAGATTCAATTTTCAATACCAATAAACTTTATAAACGCTACACATCATTGTTCCACACTGTCCAGCAATCTATCTATACTGTTACCAACAGTAGATTTTCCAAACTTGTGCCTCTTCTGTCCTTATTAAGGTCCTTATTATAGAGAAAAAGCTGCAACAAGGAATTCCCTTAACCTTTGCATACTTTCTCCTCCTTAACTTCTCTTAAATTCTCCCTTCAGGTCTAGGTCTTATAAACTTTGTCTTATAAACTTAAAATGATGACACACACCTATAATGTCAAAACTCAGAAGACTGAGGCTAGTGGTCTACATAGCAAGACATGCTTACAAATAATTAAAATAATGAAATTTCATTTTGCTAACCCCAAAAATGAAATTGTTGTTCATCTCTTATCGTGCCCTCCATTCAATGAAGTTATATTAAATCCATGCTACATTCAAGGGACATCATGTTCGTTTCAGTCTCAAAGAAGTGCATGGCCTATCGCCCTAATGAAATCAGACAAATAGAGCTCATATGTTATCTTTTCTTCACCTCTAAACAGAGTCCTCCCTGACAGTGTAGCTTTTGTAACAAAGGGTCTGAGAATGGGCAGCACTGAAAAGTCATTTTCCACACTGTGGTAGTGACACTCACCTTTAACCCCAGCAATCGGGAGGCAGAGCCCAAATAGCTTGCGGTTGTATGTATACACCTAAGCACACTGACACTCTAGAAAAGAAAGGCAGCCTGGGACACTCCCTTGGCCAAACACAAACCCACCCAAAACCAGAAATGTCTTTGCCCTGCTCTTGTCTCTGAAGAATGTTTGCTTCAAGATGGCAGAGGTTGGGTTGAACTGGATAGGGACCTGCTACCCTGTGTGGTGGTCTGAATGAGAATGGCCCCCAGAGGCTCATATATTCGAATGCTTACTCACCAGGAAGTGACTCTATTTGAAAGAATTAGAAGGATTAGGAGTGTGGCCTTATTGGAGGAAATGTATTACAGGGTGGGCTTTGAAGTTTCAAAAGCCCTTGCCAGGCCCAGGTTTTCTGTCTCTGTGCTTTCAAATAATCTACTTCTCCAGCAACACACCCACCACCATGATCTTTTCCAGGATGATAATCTACTAGGCCTGTGAGAGTGTAAGTAAGCCTACCAATCAAACGCTTCCTTTTATAAGAGCTGTCTTGGTCATGGGTGTCTCTTCACAACAATAGAATATTGACTACCATGCCATACAACAAGAAGGCCTTCCAGTGGCTCCCTTCTCTCTGGAGCCATCTGTGGGCCACCCTGAGACGGATGTGTCCTCAGCTCCCTTCTGTGTGCGGGTCCAGCATACATGAACATTACATGTGGATCCATCACTACCTGACGCTGGCTGCTCTCTCTGGCATCTTCCTATCCTGTAGAGCCGGGCACAAAACAGGTTCTTGTGAGTTTCAGAGTAAAACTCCAATAAAGGCCAGGCAGTGGTGGCGCACGCCTTTAATCCCAGCACTCAGGAAGCAGAGGCAGGCGGATCTCGGTGAGTGTGGGGCCCAGCCCGGTCTACAGAGCGAGTGCCAGGACAGGCTCCACAGCCACAGAGAAACCCTGTCTCCAAAAACAAGAATAACTAAATAAATGAAAGATTTTAGTTCACAGAGAGAAAAGGTTTCCCACGGGCCTTGGCCCATTACAAGGAAGCTGGCCCCAACCCCGGCACATCCTATGGTTTAGACGGGGGCAATCGCCAAGACAACCCTCTTTGGGTCACACCTGGCTGGCCAACAGACAATCAAGGACTTTTCAGGGTACGTTCTGTGGTTTTTCCTTTGTAGAAAAGCAGGTCACACCTGGGTGACCACTCTAACATGAGATCATACTTTGTAATCAATCACTTTGTGCCCCCGGCCTGTATGCTGATCTGCGGTTTTCTCCTATATAAGGAGCTTGCACCCCATGCTGGTGCCCCCGGCCTGAATGCTGATCTGCGGTTTTCTCCTATATAAGGAGCTTGCACCCCATGCTGGGGTGTGCAGCTTTCCCAATATTGCTGACACCCGAATGCATTCGTTCAATAAACCCTCTTGCTTTTGCAGCTCTTGGTCTGGTTTCTGAGTCTCAGAGGCTCCTCGGGATCCTGAGGCCCTTAGGGGTCTGGGGTCTTTTCATCAATAAAGCTCTAGTAAAGAAGGGTGAGAATGGCAGTCGACTTCCTGTTGCCTCTGAGTCAAGATGTGCCGCTCTCAGCTCCAGCACCGAGTCTGCCTGCATGCCGCCATGCTCCCCTTCATGATCATAAGGAACTGGACCTCTGAAACTGAAGCATCCAAGTGAGCGTTACAGGTCGGGAGACAGAATACCAGGAAGTGTGCTGTGAAATAGTCTCTCCTAGAAAGGGTTGTATAAACAAGTTTGGAACGATGGCAATACCAAAGGTAGTGTGAGAGGGGGGATTCATGGGGTCCCACCTCCAGACAAAGTACTATAGAAAACCAATGACTGCCAGAAAAAAAAGAGAAATAGAGTCTCCCAGAGATGAACCACTTATTGACTTATTGGTTGGTCAAGGCAAAGTGGTCAGCCTTGAAATCATATACACACAAGCAATATATATATATATATATATATATATATATATATATATATGCGCTGTGTGTGTGTTCTTGGTGGCAGAACACAGAACAAGGCCAAGTGGGGCTGGAGAGACAGCTCTGCAGTTAAGAGCTGCTCTTCCAGAGGACCTGGCTTCAATTCCCAGCACCCACATGGTAGCTAACAGCTGTTTATAACCCCTGTTCCAGGGGACCTGACACCCTCATCCACATAGGTATAGGCAAAATACCAATATGCATAAAATAAAAATATATTTTTTTAAAAAAAGAACAAGGCCAAGCAACTACAAAGCCAAAACTTCAAGAAACAAAACAATAAAGAGCCAGTGAGAGGAGTCTGGAGAATTGGCTCAGCACTTAAAAGCACTTGGTGCTCTTGCAGAGGACCCAGGTTTGCTTCCAACACCCATGTGGCAGCTCACAACAGTTTATAACTCCTGTTCCAGGGGATTAAACACCTTTTTCTGGCTTCCATGGGTACTACATGCACATGGTACGAATACATCTAAGCATAAACTCATACAGATAAAAAATAAAAATTATTTTTAAAAGACCCAGTAAGGAGTGCTGGAGAGATGGCTCAGAGGTTTAGAGCACTGACTGCTCTTCTTCTGCTGCCCTCTTCTGGTGTGCAGGCAGAACACTGTATACATAATAAATAAAAAAAAAACGTTAAAAAAAAAAAAAAAAAAAAAAAGGTCCAGGTAGGGATAAAAGAAGCTTTTAGCATCTCTTAAAAAATATAACTCAGCTGAACAGTGGTGGTGCACACCTTTAATCCCAGCACCTGGGAGGCCGAGACAAAAGGATCTCTTGAATCAAGGCCAGCCTGGTCTACAGAGCAAGTTCCAGAACAGCCAGGGCTACACAAAGAAACCCTGTCTTGAAAAAAATTAAAAATAAAACTCATATTCGAAATTTAGGGCCAAGAGGAAAACAATCCATCTTACAGCTACCTATATTTTCCTTCCTTCTGTGAATCTCAAGGAGTTTTTCTGGGCTGCAGACCTGGTCCCAGCCACACAACTCTGTACTGAGGGATGTTTTACAGACCCCTGGCAGAAAGGTTCAGGCTTTGATGCTGATCGGCTCTACCTCTTTAAGAGACAGACCCCGCCCCCTGACAACATTCAGGGCACAAACAAGAAATCGTGCTATGTCATCACCACGTCACCCACCACACATTACGGCCTACTAAGGACTCTGGGCATGCGTGGAACCTCAGTGCACATGCACAGCCTTCCAACTTCCCTGCTGCTCACTCTCTTTATGCTGTTCTCTCTCTGCTCACTCCTCTGCTCTTCTCTTCTCCCACCTACACTCTCTCTGCCTCTCTATGGCCACCGGCCATGGTGGTCCACCATTACCCCTGTACCTCTTCTCTCTTAGTTTCCCTACTCTGCCGGGCCATATAATAAACTAGTTAACATGTCTCATCTTGCAGCTTTCTCTTTTCCTCTTTTTAAATAAAAACATAACACTGGCTAAGGCCTCTCCGTTTACTCAAGGGCCTGATTAAGTTGTCTCCATGTAGGAACACCTGCTCTGAGGCTCTGATGCAACTGCCACAGCCCTGGGGAGAGGGTATCAGTGCTACAGAGTGGGTCTGACTTTACTCCCAGTGCCTTCAAGTCTCTATGGAGGAGCTAGAAGAAGCTCTCCCAGTGTCAGAAGCCAGCCTTGGCGACCCCCCCCATGCCTAGCTAGCCACCAGCTAGTCTAGCAGCCCACCCCTCAGGTTCGGGGACCTGGCCTGAGAAGCAACTAACACCTATTCCTTCCCCCACTTTCTTAGTGCTTGAGATAAACATAAGAGATTCTGGATACCTGGCCTGAGAGCAATTAACATTCATTCCTCCCCCACCTCCTTTTTCTCTGCTTCCTCCTTTCTCTTTAAAAACCCCCTTGGTTTCAATAAAGTTGGGCCTTGACAAAACCTGCTTGGTCCTGATCTTTCTTTCCCGCCCATTATTTCAGGCTTAATCCACCTCAGACTCACGAATTACTGGAAGCCCCGCCGGCTGGGGCATCCCAGGCCCTCAGGTTTTGGTCTCCTTGAATCCTCTGAACTGCCTCTCACTGTTCTTGAGCCTTGGATGGATGTTGAGCTCAGTGATGGTACTGGAGTCAGAGTGTGGTCCATAAACTAACAGCATAACAGCATCAGCAGCACTAAGGAACTTGTTAAAAACACAAATCAGTTGGTTGTGATGACACACGCCTTTAGTCCCAGCACTCAGGAGGCAGAGTCAAGAGGATCTCTGTGAGTTCAAGGCCAACCTGGTCTACAGAGTTCGAAAAACAGCCAAGGCTTTATGGAAAAATTCTGTCTTGACAAAAAATAGGAGCTGGAGAAATGGCTCAGAGGTTAAGAGCACTGACTGGTCTTCCAGAGGTCTTGCCTTTAATTCCCAGCAACAGTATGATGACTCACAACCATCTATAATGAGACTTCATGCCCTCTTCTGGTCTGCAGGCATATATGCAGACAGAACACTGTATACATAATTGCATGCATAATAAATAAATAAATCTTAAAGAAAAAGAAACAAAAAATAAAATAAAACCACAGTCGGGCGTTGGTGGCACACACCTTTAATCCCAGCACTCTGGAGGCAGAGGCAAGCGGATGTCTGTGAGTTCGAGGCCAGCCTGGTCTCCAGAGCGAATGCCAGGATAGGCTCCAAAGCTACACAGAGAAACCCTGTCTCGAAAACAAAAAAACAAAAAACCACAAATCCTCAGGTCTGGGTATGAGAACTAGGCTGGCCTTAAACATGAGGTCCTCCTGCCTCTGCTGCCCAAATTCATTACCACCCCTGATTTATATTTTTTAAATTGTGTGTGTGTGTGTGTGTGTGTGTATGTGTGTGTGTGTGTGTATGTGTGTGTGCATGCATACACACATATTAATGCAAATACAAGAAGGCCAGAGGAAGGAGTTGGATCACCTGCAATTGTGAGCGGCCATGTGGGTGCTGGAAACTGAACCCACGTCCTCTGGATTAGCAGCCCATATTCTTGACCGCTGAGCCATCTCTCCAGCCCCCATGTCAGGCTTGCAGTGGTTTGTAGTATTTTGTTGTCTTAAGTACTGGTAATGGAAGACACCTCTGAGTACTGGACAGAGGTTCCACACTGAGGCACCTGACACTCTTTGTGTCAGTTCCATTCACTGCTGAATCCTTAGTTCCAAATCTCGGTCCCAAGGACTTCATCAAATTTCACAAAATGAATGAAAGGATGAAAAAGTCACTCACTCCCAATCACAGCCACCCAGAGCACCTACCTCGCCCTCAGCTCTGGCCCAGAGTTCTCAGAGCCATGGCAGGTTCTCACCCCAGGACAGAGCCCACTGGCAGCCTAATCTCAGGGCGTACCAGTGGACTTTGCCAGGACTGGGTGCTCACATGACCCATGTCCAAAGGCTTCCCTGGAAGATGGGTGGAAAAGGGGCGCCTCTGAAGCAAGGAGCCTGTTTGTGCTGGTAGGGGCTAAGGCAGCCATGATCAAGACAAGGAGTTCCCTCCCGTTCAGTTTTCCAGCCAGCTAAGAACAAGCACCTGACAGCTGCTACGCCCAGAAACCTGGTCCTTTGCACCTAGTGGAAGGAGGTAAGTACCCCACTTCCAAAGTAGAAGGGCACAGCATATGGAGTAGCCTATCACATCTCTGCTACCTCAGCAGATTGACTAAATTCCCCACACTCCCTTTTCTATTGTAGGTCCGTCCATTAGAAGCAAAGCATCCTGGTCCACAAGGTAAGTGCTCTGCCACCTGGCGCCTTCTGGTGGTACTACTTCTTAGGGCCAGAACAGAACCCTGAATCTCCTCCAGGCACAGCTATTGGTTAGGCAGGAGTAGGGGTGACCCCTGGCTGGATCTTGACCAGGCCCAACCTGATGAACAAAGGTTGATGGTGGTGACAGGAGTATCCATTCTACTCAGGAGCTACCAAAGAGGAGATAGATGCCCAGCCAGGAAGCAAGCGCCCGCTGGCTTGAGCCCTTTTCCTCTACCCTCCCTCTCTGTCCCTAACTCAGAGGTTCTCCTGCCCAGTCCTGGTGAGATGCAAAGAGGTTCAGCCATTAGTGAAGTATAAAGTGCTAATGCAGAGGACTTTTATTGAAAGCCTACTGTGTGCCGAGCACCAGGTGTGCCTCCCACCTTCCTGCACTTTCTGCCAAACAGGGAAGAAGGTAATAGTGAGCCCCAGATGTGAAGCCAGGGAGGGCACTGAGGTGGAGGTAGATGGAGGCAAGGTAGGCCCAGCAGCTGAGTCCTCAAAGAGGGCAGGAGTCTGGGGTCTGGCCAGCTTGAAATCCAAAAGCTGAGGTCTCCCTTGTTCCTGAGCTTACTGGGCTCTAAAGCTGCAGTCAGAATCAAGTGTCTCCGAATCTTGTCTTTTCACTTTGTGACTTTCAGGGAATGGATCCTGTCTCTGAGTGGCTCTCCCAACCTGGGATTGGTCCAGAATGGCTGAGCCCAAGGTAACAGTCAGGCTTCTGTAGGTTCTGTGTTTCCTGTCGACCCTCTCTGTTCCTGTTGCTCCTTTGGAGTTCCCACTCAGACCTTGTGGGCTAGGGCTTCAGGGGGCAAGAAGAAAGAAAAGGAAAGATCTAGAGTTAGACATAGACACCAACAGTTGTGGAGAAAGAGAGAGACACAAAGACAACATGGAGACAAAACTAGTAAAATCAGAGAGGGAGAGCTCAAGGTGGTGGAGCTAAAAAGGTAGAAAACTGACACAGTTAAGCCCAGAGGAGAAAGCCCAGGCCACAGACTGGTCCTCTTCCAGGCGCAGCCTTACCTAGAGCTCATCCGTGGGGTGAGGATGGAGGCTATGTCCACTGCTGCTAGCCAGGGGTAGGTGGGGGCCAGGAAGGGTCTTTTGAGAGCCAGTCCAGCTAATTAGGCGGCCACTATCATCATCCCAGAGGGAGGATGTCTCTGTGTCACTGAGCCATTCAGAATCTCCTGCATAGTGGGTTGGGGAGGCAAGCAGAGGCTGGGCTGAGAAGGCTTGGAGGTCCCGAGGCCAGAAGTGTGCCTTGTACTGGTCACTGTGATTGAGAGAAGAAAGCTTAGGTGGATTGAAATGACTCTCCTCCTAGACCCCATGATGCTAATCCAAAATGGGGGCCTGACTGTCTATATTGCCTCTGCCCTGCCCATTAGTCCTCACAGCTACTTGAGAAGTGACACTTTTACTTCCCATGAAGAGGACACTGAGGCTAAGTATAGGAATTATACTGAGTCATATGATTGAAAGCCACAAGGAGATGGCTCAGCCTTTAAGAGCCTTCACATCAAGTGGCCCTTTACTGCCTGTAATTCCAGCTACATGGGGATCTGACACCCTCTTCTGACCTCCTTGGACACCTGTACTCATATACACATACCCACACATAGATACATAAAATTAAAAATTGAAAAATAAAATGAGTAGTGGTAGCACACGCCTTTAATCCCAGCACTTGGGAGGCAGAGACAGGCAGATCTCTGTAAGTTCAAGGCCAGCCAGAGCGAGTTGTTGTTACACAGAGAAGCCAAGGTTGTTACACAGAGAAACCCTATCTCTAACCCCCCCCAAAAAAAAAAAACCTAAAACTCACATGGAAATGGGCAGCACAGTGTTCACACCTAGCTGAGCCTGGCACCTGGGAAACTTTTGAGTGGGCTCATCAAGGTCATGTGGGTGACCTTGACCATCTCCCTCTTTCCAGCTGCCTAGTAAGGGATTTTTGCAGTAGGCCCTTGGCTAGGACGACCTTGCCCTGCCCCACCCAGGTCTCACTTTGGGTGCTGGTCAAACATGACAGGCAGGAACTCGTCCACAGGTAGCATTCGTTGCAGAGGCTGGGTGGCTAACAGCTTTCGAGCCCCTGCCAGGCTCAAGGTGTACGCCAACGTCCAGTGGGAGTACCCAGCCACCACCAGACCAGGCAGGCCCTCCACGGCCACCTCCTCCTCAGGGCTCACCTGCTTCCGGCCAAGGTAGCTGCAAATGACACCAAGGTATGGCAGGAGTCACTACAAAGCCTAGGATGTCCTGGCCCTTCCCATTACGCTAAGGCCGGGCTATGCAGCGGTGCTAGCTAGGATCCCAGCATAAGAAACAGACCCCAGGGGCATATGCTCTCTCCCTAGCCCCTGAGAGGCAGTCGGCCTACATCAGGTCCCATGAGAGCTTCTGGGTCACCACATCCTCCATCATCTGTTCCAGCCGCCTCCGGAAGTTGTCCTTAAAGCGTACGTCATCCTCAAACACCACAACCCTGGCCAGGCCCCTGACAACCACCTGCAGTACACATGACAGGGGAAAGAACTCAAAGATTTGAACTGCCTGCTCCTGTCTGCCTAGACTCAGGCCAGCAGACTCTTTCTGCCTAAGTGCCACATATCTAGGCCATATTATGTAGCTACCCCAAAACCTGCTGGGGCTCCCACCGCCTGGGGACCGAAACCCATCTTGCTCTGGTATTGAAGGTGCTTGAGTTCCCACACCCCAGTCTAGCTTCCGAGACAGCCATGGTGACAATCACAGGGTTTGCTACTTTTACTGAAAACCATGCTCTCCCAGGGGCCAGTGCCATTGCTCAGCCTCACAGAAGCACAGGTTCTTGCTCTGCCAACTGAAGCTGAGGTGGGCAGGGGTGTGAGAGAGTCCAACCCCTAAACTCACCAAGAAAAGCTACTTTTTGTAACAGGAAAATGTGAAAAGAATGTGAAATCAGCTAGGTGAAGTGCCAACTGAGTCATCCCCTAAATTCGTTCACAGACACGTCCACACACTCCTTGGCATTGGAAGAAAGAAAAACAAGGTACGTGCTCACTGTCTCCTGGAGGGGGCGCCCTCCAGTTCTCAGCATTGCTGTCCCCGCCAAGACTGAAGACAAGCCCCCAACATGAACCAAGGTCCAGGTCTTCCTGGTACACCTTCCCGCCTGGAGGAATTCATATTCTCCTGCCTACAAGGCTCTCCTCTCTGCCCTCTCTGCCCTCTCTGCCCTCTCTGCCCTCCCTGCCCCCAAGCAAGGCAGACTAACAGAACCATTTACACCTCTTCCACAAAATGCAGCCTCGGGGCCCCTCTTCTAATTTGTCACCCTCTAGAGCCCCAGGCTGTGTCCCTCCTTTTATGTGTGTTCACATGCTTACATTTTGAGGCCAGGGGTCAATCCTGGGATGTCTTTCTCTAATCATGACACTTTTTTTTTTTTTTAAAATTTTGAGACAGGGTTTCTCTGTGTAGCCCTGGCTGTCCTGGAATTTACTCTGTAGACCAGGCTGGCCCTGAACTCACAGAGATCCACTTGCCTCTGCCTCCCAAGTGCTGGGATTAAAGGAAGAACCCACCTTATTTTTTGGCGCTTTCCATTTCATCTAGACTGGCTTGCCAGGCAAACCCACAGGATCTGCTCCCCAGCACTGGGGCTACAGATGTGCTCTGCTATACCCAACTTTTTGTGCTATTATACCCAACTGAAATCTGTGCTCTGGTCTGCATGTTTCCCCAGCAAGCACTTCACCACGAGCCATCTCCTCACCCACAGGATCTCTCTACTGTAGGCATGAGACAGACATGGTTTCCGTGTCCCCTGTGTTAGCAGAGAAGAATCCCTTCTACGGAATAGTCAGTGCTCAACAGAAACATTAGAATAAGCACAGTCACCCACCTCTGAGGGTGCCAGGGAAGTGTTGACCACAAAGAAGTGAACCTTCTTTTTTTTTGTTGTTTTTTTTTTTTTTGTTTTTTTCGAGACAGGGTTTCTCTGTGTAGCTTTGGAGCCTATCCTGGCACTCGCTCTGGAGACCAGGCTGGCCTCGAACTCACAGAGATCCGCCTGCCTCTGCCTCCCGAGTGCTGGGATTAAAGGCATGCGCCACCAACGCCCGGCTCAGTGAACCTTCTTTTTGGATGCATTTATTCACTCGGTCAATCAACCACTTGTGTGCCTGGCACACAGCAGTGACTGAGACTGCTCTCTCTACAGGCATGGTCCAGAGGGCAGGTATCCTCACCTCTTCCCAGATGGAGTAGTGGCTGAGGAAGCAGCCCACCTCACCCTTAGTCAGTGTGCGGCCTGTGTAGGGGTCCTGGTAGCCAGGGAGCAGGTCCACACCAAGGTGCTTAAGGATACTGCTGTTGAGTGTCCTGTGAGAAAGACAGAAGGTAAGTGTGTGACAACCCTCTATCCAGAGGGTCCTCGCTTGTATGTGCTGGAGAGAATCACACAGGAGCCTGGTTTAAAGGAGGACCCAGCTTTGTAACTCCTTCATGTGGCCTGAGGCTGCCGTGAACCGAGCTTAGCCTCTAGCCTCGGAGCTCTAGCCTCCTTGAGGAAGTCCCAGGAGGATGGATTTATGGAATCTGTGTGGGGGAGGCACCCCAGGATGAGTGGACAACCTGTCAGAGATTTTCTGCACCAAGGCCCAGTAAAGGACAGACATCCCATAGGACAGCCAGATACACTGGTGCAGGCCTGTAATCCAAGCACCCGGGAGGCAAAGGCAGGCAGATCTTTGTGCCTCTGAGGCCAAGCCCAGTCTACATGGTGAATTCCAGGCCAGGCAGAGCTATGTGAGATCCTCTACTGTGGGAGGGAAGGAGAGAAGGAGGGAGGAAGACAGACAGACAGAAGGAAGCATTTCCTGGTGCATGTGTATCATCCCAGCTCTTGGGAGGTAGAAGCAGAAAGATCAGGATTTCAATGTCATCCTCATTTATACAGCAAATTCAAGGCCAAAAACCCTGTCTCAAAGAAACAAGCCAAGAACCAGTGGGATGGTTCGGTGAGATACAGTGTTTGAGCTGAAATCCTGAGAATGTGAATTTAATCCCCAGGTCCCACAGTGGAAGGAGATGATGACTCCCAAAACTTGCCCTCTGACCTCCACAGGAACTCTGTGGCATGTGTCCACCCTCATACACATACATACATACACACAAATAAATAAGCTTGAAATTTTTCTAAATAAACCCCTAAAAGGATAACAAGAGAATATGCTCAAAGCACATTATGTAAAATTGTGAAATATATATATGTATATATATAATTTTTATGTATATGTGAACATAAAGGACCTGGGGATTTGAAACAAATAGCACATGATATGACATATGGGTCACATGACCCTAGTAGCAGTTGTAGTTTGGCCTCTGGATCCCTGTGGAACACAGCCACACTGCATGAACACACCACACTCTGGTCCCTCAGGGACCTAACTCTCAAAACAAGGAGAACATCCCTGAAGCTGCCTACCCCTTGGAATACTTTATAGGTAATGGATCCTGCCTAAGTGTCTCACTGGACCCTTGGGGACCACAATGACAAAACATGATTGTATACCTTTTTTAAGTGAGGGTGAGAAATGGGACAGTGGTACGTGACAGTCATCAACCCAGGTCCTAGAGTCCCCTGAACAGCACTCTTCTCCCTAAGGTGGGCTGGGGGAGGATGTCTGTCCTGTTGGCCTATTCTGGCACTCCTGAGACAGCAGGACTCTGGCCCTGTGTGGCCACCTCCTGGATCTTTAGGAAGCTCATTCTACTAGTCTTGTTGTCTACTCCTAGGATCTCAGATGGGTTTCATGGTCCCCGAGCCCCATCTGTGGGTGCCTCACCTGCCATCCACAGCATCTACCACCTGAGCAGAGATCTCCATCTCCCAAAGAGAGCTCAGCATTCGAGCCCGGCGCTGGGGTCTGCGCGCCAGGCTGATAACAAAGACCTAGAGGAAGCAGAGGTGAGCCTAGGGAGGGGTTGCTCATCCACCCCCACCCCAGTCCCATAAGATGGAGACTTACTTCATCAAATCCCATCTTGCTGGGCTTCTTTAGGGGCCGAGACACATGATCTGAGGCCATCATGGGGGGCCCATCCACTGTAAAAGGAAACAACACCCCCAACCCCCAGGCATGAGTCCCTACAGACACCCTGGAATCCAGCCCCAGCTTCATTCCTATGACTCCAGCAGAACACCAATCAGGACGGGCTCCCTGAGCTCCTACCCCATTGTACAGCTCAGAAGGCTGAGGTACCACAGGGAAAGGGGCTTGCTGATTGTCATAACACAAGTTCAGAGCAAGGCTGACACCCAAACATGCTTAAATCTATGCCTAGGAAAAGCACACTGTGGGAAGGCAGGGGACCCCAGCCCTCACCTAGTGCTTCCAAAATCAGGTGGATGAAGTTGGTCTTTTCCTCCTCCAGCCCCTGGTCGGGCTTCACTGCCACATTCATGTACCCGAAACGATGGTCATTGCACACATACATGGAGACCCCTGCAGAGAGGGCCCCTGAGTGCGGCGGCACTGGGGCTGAGTCTCTCAGCAGACACTGCCAGTGACCCAAGTCTTGTCTGGGACTCAGTTTTGCCACAGTGGTGAGGGCACTGGGCCATGTCTCCAGCAGTTTTCATCTTACTTGTCTACACACTGCAGACTTCCCCGGCACCTTTTGGACGAAACAATCAGCACCCCTCCTTGAACTCACAGAGATCCACCTGCCTCTGCCTCCCAAGTGCTGGGACTAAAGGCATGCGCCACCAACGCCCGGCTTTTTGTTTTGTTTTGTTTATACAGAGTAATCTTGTCTTGAAAACAAACAAACAAACAAAAAACCTACTAAGTTGCACATGGTAGTGAATACCTTTTTGTTTTGTTTTGTTTATACAGAGTAATCTTGTCTTAAAAAAAAACAAACAAACAAAAAACCTACTAAGTTGCACATGGTAGTGAATACCTTTAATCTTAGCACTTGGAAGACAGCGGTAGGTTGGTCTCTGTGAGTTTGAGGCCTAATTTGGTCTACCTAATAATGAGGCTAGCCAGAGATACATAGTGAAACCTTGTCTAAAAAGACTACTGGCATCGGGCGGCGGTGGTGCCTTTAATCCCAGCACTTGGGAGGCAAAGGCAGGCAGATCTCTGTGAGTTTGAGACCAGCCTGGTCTACAGAGCAAGTTCCCGGACAACCTCCAAAGCAATGCAGAGAAACCCTGTCTTGAAAAAACAAAAACAAAACAAACAAACAAAAAAGAGTTCACTGAGGTCTTCTCTGACTATCTGACTAAATCCACTCTGGCCTGAGCTCCTGGAACACCTATAATCAAGGCCTCCTTCCCGTCATGGACACTGATTTGTGAGGTCCTCTGACTGGACTGCAGGCTCTAGGACGGTAGGACAGCAGGGACTGCCTCACTATCACTATCTCCTCAGTGTCTGTCACACAGTTGGTGTCCCATAAATATGTTCGCCGTGAAGCTATATCTGAAAGTACCAAAATGGGGACAGCCAGAAGCCTATCTCCTCCACTAGACAGTAGATTTAAGAAAGGTCATGACCCAAAGGACCAACAAGAGTTGTCAGGATGAACTGTGGGGTGGAAAGGCAATGCTAAGCAGGGAGAAGCGGCAAGTGCTAAGGCCCAGGGGCCTCCAAAGAATGCTCCAGGAGGCCTGGTCCTCACCAGCAGCCTGGCAGGCATAGGCAAAGACAATGATGTCATCAAAGGGCCAAGTATAGTTGGGATGAGGTGGGTAGAAGGCAAGCTGGGCTGTTTCCTCAGTCTTCAAGGACACCAGGAAGGTAGAGTGGACCATAGGGACCCGGAAGCAGCCCTGGCGCTGGCGGTTCTTGGTAGGGAAGTATTCAGCTGTACGGCGATAGTAGCCCTGGAGGAAGGAATGTTTGGGGCTGAGGCCAGGCCTGTCCTGCCCCAAAGGCCCTGAAGTCTCAGGCTCTGTGCTGAGTCCATCCTCCCAGCCTTACCTGTGGAGTGATCCCGCACCAGAAGTTGGAATAATAGGTTTGGGAGTCGAGCATTGGGGCCACCACTGGCAGCTGCCGCTCTGTGAGAAGCCGCAGCGTCTGGTTGTTGGTGAGAATGTTGTCTGTGTCTGAAAACTTTGGGGAAGGAAGATGTCACAGAAATCCTGTCTGAGCCTCAGGACTAAAGAGCTCACTGAGTGGGAATTCCTTCAGAGTGACTCTGGGCACAAGTATCCACAGAGAAATCTAACCGGGACCAGAGAGGTGTCTATAGAGATGTAAGGCACTACCAAGCCTGACAACCTGAGTTCAACCTCAGACCCACACAGTAGAAGGAAGGAACCAACTCCTGAAAGCTGTTCCCTGACATCCACGTACTGTGGTGGACGTACATTTATACACATACTCACAGGATACAAATAAATGATGTGAGGGGTCTTAACTATCACAGTCCACTTGTGACCAGAGGCTGTTCTGAGGTCCTGGCTTGGATATCTAAATTAGAGGGTAGATCTGAGTGAAAGGTTCAGGCATTATGCTGGCCTGCCTCTGTTGCCTGGTGGAACAGGCAGTACCCTGGTCAGCCCATGGTTCCATGGGAACAAAGTCTGCAGGCAATTGCAGAGGACCCCTTTAAAAGATCCCTGCCCATTTACGCTCTCTTCCTCTCTACTCTTCTCTCTGCTCTGCTCTTCTCCCACCTACACTCTCTGCCTCTCTATGGTGACTGGCCATGGTGGTCAGCCATTAACCCTGTTCCTTTTCTCTCTTAGTCTCTTTACTCTGCCGGGCCTATAATAAACTGATTAATATGTCTAATATGTCTCTTAGTCTTTTTTTTTTTTTTTTGAGATAGGGTTTCTCTGTGTAGTTTTGGAGTCTATCCTGGCACTCATTCTGGAGACCAGGCTGGCCTCGAACTCACAGAAATCTGCCTGCCTCTGCCTCCCGAGTGGAGTGCTGGGATTAAAGGCGTGCGCCACCAACGCCCGGCTATATTTTAAATATAGTTAAATTAGACCTTTATGACTTTAAATGTTTACCATCATTTAAAGATACATAGCAATTTAGAAATATGAGACTTAGAACAGTTTAAGTTGCATATAGAGTTAGATAAGTATAAAGTTAAATTTAAATTACATGTACAGAGACAAGCAGGACTTGATAAGAGTAAAAGGGGGAACCAGAATGTAATCTCTAATCTGTACATTGTAGCAAACAGACAGGAGATTTAAAGGGACAGAGTAGACTTAAACTGGCCCTGAAAAGACACAGTATTCTGTAAACAAGCCATGAGCAACAGAGCCAGTGAAAGAAGAAATCACAGGCAATAAATAAATAAATAAATAATAAAAAGTAAAAAGATCTGGCAGCCAGGTTTGCTGGCACAGGCCGCTAGAGTGGGCGTGCCTATAGGTAGGTCACATGGCCAAGATGGTGGCCCCCAAGTTAGCCCACATGGCCAAGATGGTAGCCCCCAGGTTAGACCACATGGCCAAGATGGTGGCGACCATAGCTGCTTTTTTGTTTGTTTGCCCGCCTGTTGGCTGCAACCAGAAAGGTTCCTCTATGCATTTCCCATGGGTGAGGCAAATGTAAAAACCAGCAAAAAGCTCCTCTCCAGATGCCCGTGGGCCCATGGGAGTTGCCAGGGGCCTGGTCCCGAAGGGGACACAGCTGTCCCGAAATGGGAAAGGACCCAGTGGTCCGAACTGAAAAAGCAAAACAGCACCACTCCTGGAACGGTATCCCAAACCTGACCCAAGGGAGAATCAAGGGATGTCTTACAGGATTGTAGCAAACAGGCAGATGAGTGGGTTCCAAAGATGCTTAGTTGGAAAAGCAGCAAGTTGAAGTGTACAGAGTCCTGGCATCGCAGGCTGCCGCAAGCAGGAGGAAGTGCCAAGAAAAGCCGAGATGGAAAGTGGGTTATGAGATTTTAGGATCCCTGAAATTTCCTGTGCCCCTGGCAGGAGAGGTTACAGAGAAAGCCTATCCCACCAGCAAGCTGCAAGAGAGCTTGCAAACAGATCCTAAACCGAGTTGGGCGCCAAATGTTATTCTTTTGTTTAAATTAGAAATAAAGAAGAAAAGAGGCAGATGAGGCATAAGACTAAGAGACAATCCCAGCACTCGGGAGGCAGAGGCGGGTAAATCTCTGTGAGTTACAGGCCAGCCTGGTCTCCAGAGCGAGTGCCAGGATAGGCTCCATAGCTACTCATCCTGTAAGCCATTTACAAAGGTACAGGATTTTTTTATTACAAAAAGGTGATTTTTCTCTAACTAAAGGCAAATTTTTAAATGCTAAGATACTAAACAGACAGACAGCCCTAAAATGCTCAGAGATCTAGAGCAGGCCAGCTGCTGGCCCCATCCCATTTCCTCAAAGAAGACTGATGGGCACTGAAGAAACTTCATCTTAAGTCAGTGACAACGCTAGTCACTGAGCAACCCTGCCCTTCACCTCAACTGCTACAAAGTAATCCAGACTGTGGACAAGAGGACAGTGGAATCGACTTTCCCTGCGTTGCTTGGGCCAACAGTAGGCAAGCCTTCCTGTAGTCTGTAATCCACAGGCCACATGCTATCATCAACGTAGTCTGTAATCCACAGGTCACATGCTATCAGGAGGAAGGCAGGTGTCCTGCAGCCCGCTGCTATGGATGCAGGACCTTGGGGGTGGCTGTCCATACAGCCTGCTGGCAAGTCTCTGTTATTCTTTATTCATTGATTCAGGTAAAATCTTATCCTTCTCAAGAACTCTGATGCTTTTGACAACTGGTAGTCTTGCCAGCTTAAAGC